TGCTCTCTTTTCTCCAGGATTCTCAGATACCCTTTCTTTCTTCTACCCACATCTTGGTTTATATGACCAGAAAAGTAGATTTCTCTGAGTGTTAGCATTCTCACTATAGAGTAGATGCCTGCATCTGGGGCCATGTTCAGGACGAAGTGTTAAGGTAGAGAAGAAAATAAAAGATTATCATCTTATTCTTCAGAGTATGGTTCCTTTCGTTAGGGAGGCAGATTTTCTCTCGGGTTTTACGTGCCCAACCTGCTACAGTTGGTAGCAGTATAGCTCTGAAGCTAAAGAGAGAAAACAAGTCAGGAAAACCCAGGATTCCCACTTTCCCACACCCCACACACACACCTGGAATTCAGTGGTTCCTGGTCTTCTATATATAGAGAGAAAGTTTCTTCTGGAGTTTTTGCTCTCTATGCCCACTGTGCAGTTCCAGGATTAGACCTTGGATTAAAGCTGAAGACCAAAACAAGGACCAAAAACAAAACAGAAAAAACAGACTGAAACTCACCTATTACAAGGTTATTTACATTTGGCATCAGTCCCCCATCTCCTTGTTATTGTTTACTTTTCTGATTATTCAGGTAGCTTTTAAAAAATATTCTACTAGGAAAAAAAAATTCTACTAGACTTTTTAGTTGCAATTGGTGGAGAACTAGGCTATAGATGGCTCAGTCTCTTGTGCTTGGCCAATCTTTTTGTTTTCCCTCTAATTCATTTTAAATTGCTTCTCTGTGGTGCCATAGAAACATCATTCTTTCAGACCTACTAGCCTGAGATTCTTTTTATTGGCATGGCAGTACAGTCAAAATCTAAGCATTGCTGGAGGTGAATGCCATTGTTTTTTGCTTTTGTCTTCATTGTTTTTGCTTACTTTTATGCAGTTTATTCTGGCTGTTTTTCATTCACAAGCTCCCAACTTTGACTGGAATGAGGAGCACAGGTCTTAGTATAGCAGAGCTCCTCACCAGGCAAAACACGATAGTTTCATATAGCTAAATAATCCTGTTACAGCTATCTGGGTCTTTTTGCTAAGAATTGAGAAAGGATTTGGTGACCTTTGGGACTAGAAAAGACAGGGCTCTGAAAGAATCAGGATGCCAGGTGTTAACTGTGTCTGAAAAAGCAGTCTGAGAGCCTGGACTTGGTCCTCGCTCTCCCTCTGGAAACCATGTCTAAAAATGCATCCTGTCCTCTTGTGGTTCAGTAGGTATTGCTACTAATCTGTAAAAATTCAAACTAGTGACTAATAAGGTTTTCTTTGATTGTGATTTTTTTCTAAAAGGCAGGATTCATTTTTTCTTATCTGACTTTTTTTGAAATCAAACCCCTGTCTCAGTCTCTGGTAATGTTAACTGCTTAATTACATTAAGGCAGTGGTCCCCAACCTTTTTGTCTTGATAGAAAATGCCTATTACAAAGGATACACCTGGGGAGAGGAAGAACAGAAAGCAAAGTACAAGGGGGTAAGGAAATAATAGTCATATTAAGTTAGCTAAAGAAAGCAACATTTTTAGTCAGGATATATATCAAAATAGTGGCTACTTCAGTGATTAAAACAAAAGTACTGTTTTGCCAAGTACTATTCTTTTTAGAACTGTTATACTGAAGGGTATTTTAATTAGGTTTTTTTATGAATCAAAGCCTTAGCATGACATTAGGACTCTGTACTATCAAAATTTTGATAACATAAAACTGAATCCCTATTGTGATGAAAAATTTCTTTATACTTTTAACAGAGCACTGAAAATTGTTTCAGATTTTCAATCAGATTTTGCCTGATAATTTTTCTTTTAACTCAAACATTTAACCTTTCCTTCCCTTTCTATTGTTAATACTTTCTAGTATGTCATCTTCTCAATATTTCAGTTATATTTTATTAAAATACTGCCTCCATAACGAAGTAGTCAGTGACTTTTGTGGAGTCAGTTATTCAAGTAGTTTAGTCATTTGACTAAGAATCCACTAATAAATTAATGTTCTCTTTTTAGTTACTTTGTCGATTGAACATGTATAAATAATTTTTATGGGCCCTAGTTTTTTTATTTTCCTTTTAGGATTAAAAATAGTCCTGACTTCTCTCTCAAGGAAATAGTAAAAAAAAAAAAAAAAAAAGGCAAAATTTATGTATAAAGAAATTATCTCAGTTATTTGCAATAATGAAAAATTAAACAATGTTTTAGAATAATGTAATGCTTAAATAAATTATATATCCTTATGATAGAGTATTATCAATAATGGTTTTAGGAAAATTTTAGCGACATTGCAAATGTTTAAATATAACGTTAAGTGAAAAATGTAGTTTCTAAAACTTTACGCAGATTGATCCAAACCTTGTGAAAGAATTTATGGTTCTATCACACATAAGCCTACATAGAAAACTGGAAGGAAATAGACCAAAGTCTTTATATGGGTAGAATTATAGGAAATTTCAGTTTTCTTACTTATACTTCATTTTATTGCCCACATTTTCTACAGTTTTTTTTTAATAGATAATGTATTTACAAGATACAAAAAGTTTTTCAAAGGTTATATTGTAAAATGTCTTGCTGTTACCCCTATCACCTCAGCCACCCAGTTTTTTCCATAGGCAACTAATATATTTGATTTCTCTTTATCCTTTCAGAGATATTTTCTAAGTGTATGTATGTTTGAGAACCTATGTAAAATTACTTTCTAAAAATAGAAGCTCTATGTCAAAGCTCTATGGTATATGTCAAAGAGTATGGGTGTTTGTAATCTTGATAACTGAATTATTTAGTTTTGTATCATAATTAGAAAGGCTTCTTTCCTCCACAGTTATAAAATAATCCCTCCTTGGTTTCTTTTAGTACTTTTTGTTTTATTTTTAAACATTTACATCTTTAATTCATGTGGAATTTTTTTCTTAGTACAGTGTGAGGTATGGATCCAACTGTTTTCTGGATATCTCTTTCATTGTCCCAATATCATTTTTTTTAAAACTTCTATATTTTTATCACTGATTTTAGATGTCACCTTTTAAATATATTAAATTTCCATATATATGTGAGTCTGTTTCGGGGATTTTATTCTGTTAATTGGTCTGTCATTTTATCTGCCTGTTTCACATTTAAAAAATATTTCATATCCAAAAATATTTTAATATCTTATAGGTCATTACCTCTTTATTTTTATTTTAAAATTTTTTTCTGGCGATTCGTATTTATTTTACCACATGAACTTTAGAATCAGTTGTCTAGTTCAACAAAAAGTCTTGGTAACTTTATTGGTATAATGTTAAATTTATAAATTTACTTATAGAAATTAACTTCTTTGTGTTATTCCTTTTTTCATTTTTTAATGAGAGAGAAGAAGCAAAAGAATGAGAAAGAGAGCAAGATGGAAGCCAGTGTCTTTTTGTAACCTAATCTCGGAAGAAATGTCCCAACATATTTGCTGTATTCTGTTCATTAGGAGAGTCACTGGATCCAGTCCGTACTCAAGGGCATATATACCAGAAGCCATTTCAGAAGCTGCTTACTACAGACTGTACATTTACTAATATTAAGTAATTATGAGCTCTTTTTAGGTCTGATGATTATGGTTATTTTTTAAAGGTGTAGTTATTACAGTTATGTTTGAATAGAGTCCTTATCTTTTAGAGCTGCATATGGAAATATTTCCAGATGAAGTGGAATATGATGTCCAGAATTTGCTTCAAAATAATCTGTAAAGGTTTTTTAGAACAGAAAAGCACTTAAGCTTGCCTAGTAGGATACTGTCCATGGCATCTCTTCACTATTTCTTTACATATAATTTTTTTCCTCTTTTTAAAAAATTTAAATTAGTTTTTTAAATTTATTTAAATTATTTATTTAAATTAGTTTCAAATATACAGTACATTGGTTAGACATCTATATAGTTCATAGAACAATCCCTCCAATTGCTCCCTCCCTCCCCTGGCCCTCCACCTAGCCATCATATTAATGCTAACTATATTCCCTCTGTTGTCTCCCCATCCTTAACCCTTCACTCCATTCTCCCAGCCCCACAACCTCCCTCCCCTCTGTCCATCGCCAAATTGTCCACTATATTTGTGAGTCTCTTTGATTAGTTTGTCCTTTTTGTTCCTTAGATTCTGCATATAAGTGAAATCATATGATATTTATCTTTCTTTGTCTGACATTTCACTCAGCAAAATAACTTCTAGGTCCATCCATGTTGTTGCAAATGGTAGGATTTCTTTTTTTTTTTTTTGATGGCTGGGTAATATTCCATTGTATATATGAACCATAATTCCTTTATCCAATCATCTGTTGACAGGTATTTAGATTGCTTCCATTTCTTGGCTATTGTAAATTGTGCTGCCATGAATATTGGAGTGCATAGATCTTTCCGAATTATTGTTTTGGTTTTCTTTGGATAAATACCCCAAAGTTCAATTGCTGGGTCAAAAGGTATATTCATATACCTTATTTTCTTAGTTTTGTATCTTTGACTAGATATAAGGCTTCTTGAGGGCAAGGACTGTGTGTGTCTTTTCTCTTTGTTACCTTGGTGCTGCTTAGAAAATAGAATTGAATCTAAAAATTAAAGGAATTCTAACATCATATATTCTGAAAATGTACACTCGGATTTAATCTTGGTATTTTAATCTCATATTCTCTGTGATACAGAGAAATGTGAAGGAAAAATCTTCCACTACTGGTCCCGCAAATCATCTCATCTCTGTTCAGAATCCTCCACTACTGGTCCCGCAAATCATCTCATCTCTGTATTGATATTTGTCCCTTACTCCCAAATATTAAAAAATAGGGGAATTGTAAAAATGAACATGAGCATATAAATAAGTATTTTTCATCTTAGATTAATTTTTAATTAAAGGGTACATTTATGAAAAAAATTTTGATTTAGAAATATTAATTGTGGTGTAACCAAGAATTTTAGCAAGTTTAGCTATAATAAAGTGTGACAGTTAAATTGTTGTCTTTGTTTAGGAAACATGATAATAATCTATACCTTCTTTTTTTGGTATTTGAAAGGTTGCTCTTTGATCAAGACAGATCTCTTAGATCTGAGTTCAGTCTCCATCCTGGTATAAGTGGAACATGCAAAGGTGAGAAAAAATTCTTTCAGCTAAGTAGTCCCTTTAATTTCCCAAGTGTTATTCTGTTAACTTCTTTTATATTTAGTATTGTTCTTTAATTTTACACAGTTAATTTCTTATAGTCATCTACAATAGACCCTAAGGTCCATTAAGGTCTATTACTATAAAGGCAGCAATGGGGGTCCTAACTTCCGGAAGAGGTTTATGATTCCTAGAGAGGGCTATAGAGATATGGAAGTGGTATTTGAATAGCTCTTCTCCCTTCTCCACCAAATCACCAGCTTAACCCTAAAACCTGTCTATTTGCAAAAATAAATAGTACTTTTTAATAACCAATCTGATTCTTTTAGACAAAATTAAGATACAAAGTCCTTGGTATGTATTTTTTATTTATTTTTATTTTATTCTATTATTTTTTATTGAGATGTAATAGACATATAACATTAGCTTCAAGTGTACAACATGATGATTCAATATTTGTTTATAATGAAATGATCACCAAATAAGTCTAGTTAATATAGTCTATTACATTAGTCTACTTAACATAGTCACACAATAAGTCTAGTTTTATATATATATTATATATATATATATTTTGCTGATTCATTGATTTTATGATGCTTTTTGTATTTTTTTAATTTTTTTATATTTTAAATTTTAATTAGTTTCAAGTATACTCCTCCTAGCCATTACATTACTGCTGACTGTATTCCCTGTGCTGTGCTCTCTCTCCCTGTGACATCTATTAGCTACTAATTTGTATTTCTTTAACCCTTCACCCCATTCTCCCAGCCCCACAAACCCCGCTCCTCTCTGTCCATCACCAAATTGTCCACTATATTTGTGAGTCTGTTTTTGATTAGTTTGTTCTTTTTATTCCTCAAATTCCGCATATAAGTAAAATCATATAGTGTTTATCTTTCTCTGTCTGACTTAAATGCCTTCTAGGTTCATCACAGCAATATCTTTTTCCATTTCCTTCCTTTTCATATGTAGGGGTCTTGTTTTCTTATCCTTTCAGCCACTCCATCCCTTGATTGGAGCACTTAATTCTTTTCCATTTAAGGTACTTATTGATAGGAATGTAGTTGTTACCATTCTTTATTCCTGTCTTATAATACATGTTTTTTCTTCTTAAAGAAGTCTCTCCAACATTTCCTGTATTCTGGCTTGGTAGTGAATTGGGTGTTTTTCAGTGATTCCGGTGGAAGAAATCCATACAGTTACGTCTGAAGGAGCTCCCTCCTGCTTTTCCCGTATTGAGTGATAAGCTATTGACTAAAGTTTGCTTTCCCTTTAATCCATTCTCACCTTCTAATCTATAGTGGATATAGTTCCTTTTTTTTTCCATTGCTGCTTCAGATTAAAAAAAAATAACTTTCTTTGGATTCTTTTTAGGAACTGGGAAGGGAAGAAAGTTAAAATATGAGCTCAATTTGACATCTGGAAACAAAAACTCTGACTTTTCTTGGATTATATACTAGCATGATAGGTTTTTTAAAGTGATCTAAAATGAAATTTTAAAAAAAAGAAATTATTCTTCCTAGTGAGGTTTAAAGTTATATAATTTTTACACATATCTTTTGCATTCATTCATCCTGAAATAAAGAACTATCAAGTATTATTTTATTCAGTGTAGTATATATGTTTCTTCTTAACAATTTAAAAACTTTGACACATAAAAGTGGCAGTTAGGAAATTAAGATTCACAAAATGATTTTTAATGATATTTTGTAGTATCTATGAAATCCTTGGGTCATTCATTGCAAAGCAGAGCAATAAAAATGTTACAAATGACTTATGATTATATTTCATTCTAGGCACACGTTCTCCTGAGATTCAACTTAAATTCAAACTCAGAGAAGAGCCGCAAGAGCAAATAAGTAAAAATAAGATGATTCCTGTTCTTAGTGAGGATGCAGTCTTACAGGTGTGTAGCATATTGATTAAATACATTCTTATTAAAAATTGAAAATGTTATTTCAAAGAGTAGCAGATTAACTAATAATTAATTCTTTTTGTCTATTTTGCTGCTACTTTCTTATTCAGTTTTTTCTTATTTCTTAAACATTCTGTTTCTTTGCCATAACTTTGATGAAGGCCAGTTGTTTTAAGAGGCAGGGTTAAAATATTTCCTTTTTTCCCTTTCCTTTATTTTTCTCTTCTTGGTCAGAAGGTTAAAATAGTTTAAATTAGGATGTAATAATTATGATTTTCATCTCCATTGTATGTCAGAGGTCATCTTAACCTTGTGAGGAAGTTACTAGTCTGTGTGGTATAATTTAAGATATGTGCCACTAAAAAGCCCTTCTTTTGTCCTGTGTGTGTTGTGAGTACATATCTGTGTACACACACTTATATATACAAATTTTTGTTTCTTTTTTAAAGTAATTCCCTAGGGAAAGGTAAGGGATGATTTAGTTAGCACTTGGCATACATAAGTTAGCTAACCAGAGATACCTACAAAGTCTTAAGGAATGAAAAAAAAGAATAGTTTGTGTGAGACATCGGATGCTCACAGAGAGTGAAGGTTGATCAGTCTAACCTGGCTGGACAGATTTCTTCCACTCCCAGTAATCTATGACTTACGTGGTTGAAGAGAATGATCTCAGATAGTAGATGGTAGTTTTTTTGGTTAAGGATATGTAAATAGATTTGCTCCTTTTCCAAATCTTCATCCTACCCCCGACATGTAAAACAAAATAAAACTCTACAGTTTTATGGCTTGGTCAAAATATAGGGGTGTAGGAGCCAAAGTAAAAAGGCAGTTATATGTGCAAAAGTATTGATAGTAATTTGGATCCCTTAAGAAAGAATTGGTTGAAGTGTATCCTTGCATTTTGTTAATTAACAAATGAATAATTCCAGCCTTCATTATATTCAGAGGCATTAGCTCTGAGTGGTATTTTTGTCTACAGAGAAAAAAATATCAGCTGTCAGGAACAAACTTCCTCTTGCTTGCTTTTTTATCTTTCACATTTTTCTTATGTAGGTAGGGTCAAGTAATAATTAGCCTTCAACAGGAAGAGCCACTGGTCCTATAGTAAGATAAATGAAGTGAGTGATATAAATATTTGAACGAATTGCTTTGTGGAGACTCAGAAATATCTAGTAATATATAAGTATACTCTGTTTAATGAATCCTTGGGAGTTTCTAGGTTTATTTCTTGAAATTCCGTCTTCTCTTTTGGTCTCTTGCTTTGTAAAGTCTGCTTGGGAAGTGTGTATGTGAAACCAGTGTGACAACCTTGAAATATTATAAGGTTGTATTTTCAGTAAATAACAATGAACATTAATTGGAGAAGATTAAAGTTTTTTCAGTACTTTGTGTTTTCTTGTTAATATTATGGCTGTTTCAGTGATCAAAGAATGCTTAGAAGTTCAGGTTAATGGCTTTATTTTCAGAAAGCTTTATTACACAGAAACAGACATAGAGGGCCCCCAAAGAGAGAGATTTTTCTAAAGATCTTCTTTGATGCTAGTAAGATATTTAAGGTAATGATTCCTGTTAAAGTAATAAAAGCCAGTGTGCTGTGAAATCTTAAAATGGAAGCATTTTATCAGTGTATTTTATCTTTTTTGAAAGGGGTAAACAACTTAAGATTTTCTGGCATGACTTAATCAGGCATAGTCCATTCAACATTTAACACTAACACAGAGGTTGCATAATTTCTGCCCCTCAAGGAAAATACTAGAACTCGGAATCTGACAAGAGTGGCTCATCAGAATCATTATAGAGTAATACACTAGGAGAAGAGAAAAACCATGAATAAAAAGAAGGAACACTTTCTTACTTAAGTTCCACAGATTCTTTTATAGAAAAGAGGTAAGACAAAAACTAAAGAGCCAAAACTATAAAGCTCTTAAAAGAAAACATCTTGACATTGAATTTGGATCTAATAAGGGATCAATACCCATAATACATAAAGACTCCTACAATTCAACAATAAAAAACAGTCTGATATAAAAATGGGTAAAGGACAGGAATAGACATTTCACCAAATAAGATACACAAATGGCCAAGAAGCACATGAAAAAATGTTCAACATTATTAATCATTAGGGAAATGTTTATCAAACCACAATGAGATACCACCTCACACTCTTATCAAAAAAACAAAATAACAGTATTTGACAAGAATGTATAAAAATTGGAATTCTTGCTCATTGCTGGTGATTCCTCAAAAAATTAAACAGAATTACCATATGATCTAGAAATTCCACTTTTGGGTTTATACCAAAAATAAGTGAAAGCAGGGACACAAAAATATATTTGTTTACCCACATTCATAGAAGCATTATTCACAGTAGCCAAAAGGTGGAACCAATCCAAGTGTCCATGGACAGATGAGTGGATAAGCAAAATGTGGTACATACGATGGAATATTATTCAGCCTTAAAAAGAAAGGAAATACTGATACATAAATGAACCTTAAGGACGTTATACTAAGTAAAATAAGCCAGTCACAAAAGGACAAATATAGTATGATTTCTTTCATATGAGATACTTAGAGTTATCAAATTTGTAGAGACAGAAAGGAAGAGGATGGATGCCAAGGATTGGGAGAGGAGTGAATGGACACTTAGTGTTTAATGGGTATGGAGACTCAGTTGACAAAGGTGAAAAAGTTCTGGAAATGGATCATGGTGATGGTTGCACATCAATGTGAATGTACATAATGCAAAGAATTGTACATTAAAAATGGTTAAAATGATAAATTTTATGTTACATATATTTCACCACAATAAAAAAAAAGACACTAAGAGTAACAGAATTGTCTTAAATCTTAAATATTTAGTTTGTTGCATTGGGTTAGCATTCATCAGTTGGAAAATACTGTTTTTCTTTCTAGCAGCCTCCAGATGAAATGGAACAAAACCAATCTCTGTTACAGTAAGCATATCAATTTTTTTGTCTTTATTATATTGTAGATATTTTTTGCCATTTTGCACATCTAAAATGAGCCTTCATTTTCTTGAGTTTTAGACTTAAATAGTTTTGAATAATTGCCCCCTTACACTCTCAAGTGTCATTTTATAAGAAAGACTGAATTAGATTAAGTTGATTCTGTGTTAATATTATTTTAAAAGTGAATTTATAGCATAGCATGAAGGAAGAATTTGTAGAGCTTATTGAAATTAGACTTATGTAACTATTATACTTTAAGAGACTTTATCTTTTCAGTATTTTTAAAACAATGACTATCAAAGTATGGTTTGTGGCCTCCCTGGGAATCCCTAAGACTCTTTCCAGAGGATCTGTGAGGTCGAAACCATTTTTATAATAACCAACACATTATTGCCTATTTCATGGTGTTAACATTTGCACTTATAGTGCTAAAGCAAATTGTAGGTAAATGTTGGAGCCTTAGTAGGATTTGAGCAGTGACACCAAATAGTACTAGTAGTCACCGTGTTTTTCACTGCCATGTACTAACAGTTAAAAAAGAAAAAAAAAAACAACCAATTTCACTTAATGCATTTGATGAAGCAGAAAAGTTTTCTTTATTAAATCTCTACCATTGAATATGTACCTTTGATATTCTAGGTGATGAAGCAGGAACTATGCTTAAGTACTTCTGTGCACACTGAGGTGTGATAATTGTCTTAAGGAGAGCATTTATGCACTTGTTTGAGTTGTAAGCATTGTAAGAAAACTAGCCTCACTTTTTTTTTAATTGAAAGAATAACTGACAGACAAATTGGTTATTCACACTTGGGTAAATAGCAGATGTTTTCTTGAAAATAAAGTAAGCAAGCCAGATACTTCAAGGAAAATAGCTGTGGGTATTTGTTGCTAAAGAAAAAAATTCAAGCTTTCAAGTGAAAGTTAGAGTTTAGGAAAACTTGTATATATCACCTTGGCCTTGATTGTTTTCCAGTACTTAAAATTTTCTGGTAAGATCAGTGGTAATATTTACGAAGGTGATCTTTTTGCTGTTTTATATTGAAATATATCAATAAGATCTGCATAACTCAATCAGTATTTTCTAAAAGAGCAATGAATGGTGTCACAAAACCAGGCACAGATAAAGATGAGTTCAAAATGCAAGATAGACCAGTAGGTTATAATGTAACAGAATAAAAAGTTCATTGATTTTGTTTCAGTTTCTACATTTCCTGCAACCTTTAAGGAAGTTATTGCTTTGAGTTTTGGTGTGATATCAAAAAAGAATATGCACAGTTATCCAAAAAAGCTACTAAAATATTCCTTGCTTTTCTAACTGCATAATGCATGAGGCCAGATTTTTATGTTCTTCAATCAAAACAATATATGGCAAAAGATTGAATGTAGTAGCAGATATGAGATGGCAGCTGTCTTCTTCTGTTAAGCCATATCTTAAAGAGGTTTTTAAAAATGTAAATATTGCCATTTTTCTCACTAATATTTTTCATTTTGAAAAATATAATAGTTTTTCATAAAAAATATATTAACATGCTGTTATTTTTAAATTAAAAAGGTTTTCTATTTTATATCTAATATGTAAATATAAATATAAGCCACATATACAAAAATTCTTTGGGTTCTTCAATAATTTTTCAAAATGTTTGAGGATTGTTCTTTTCAAAAAACCATTTTACGGAATAAATAGAAATATAAGTTCATCTACAAAAATGGAAAAAAAGAAAAGACTAAGGAGGACCAACATAGCATCCATAATCTCACTTCCCTGAGAGAACCATTGTTAACATTTTGTTACATTTTATTTTAATCATTCTAGATAGTTTTGTATCTTGTTTTTAAATTTTAAGTAGTAGTTTATCATAATTATTTCTCATTAATATTTTTATAAATATGAATTTCAATGGCCTAATAATATTTCACTGAATAACCTGACTATACTATAATTTATTTAATCATTCCTCTGTTATTGGATATGTACATTGTTTGCAGTCTTGCCTAATATAATTAACTATTTTTTAATTATATAGATGAAAGTTTGCTTTATTAAGACTTATGTCTTAAATTCTCTTTTGTAATTAAAGAAAAATTCTATTACCAACTCAAACTATGATTTTATTTTATTTTAAATCAGCTTGTTCTCAACGAATTGCATTTTAGGGAAAAAAATCAGCATTCTCTTCTGTTTCCTTCAGGATTATTCTATGTGAGCAGTTTCATTTCCATTTTCAAGATAGCACATATTGATCACTTTTATTTTTAGACAGGAGAGACTGTTTATTATTCTTACTTAGGATTCAAGTAGATATAGCTGGTGTATAAAACCTGCTCTTAAAACAGCTGAAACTAGAGGCTTTTTTTTTTTTTTAAAGGAAGGTATCTCTATTGCATTTATGTGGTAAATTAGATTGAGGAAAAAAATAATTAACCGATTACTTTTCTTCAATCAACTTCTAATTATCCCAGGTCAGAAGATCAAAACTGCAGATTAGGTACAACCCTTATTTTGCTTTCAGCCTCTTTCATTCAGTATTTCCTATCTTTACCTACTGTGAAATATAAGAATGATAACTAATGTCTGAAAATTTTCTCATTAGTGACTTTCACTTACGTCTAAAGTATAATGATAAACTTTCAGTGTATTTGAGAATTTAGATAGCTACATAATTCAGGACCAATTTTTTCCCCGACCCCACATCCACTATTTATTTAGCAGACAGTCATCTCCGAAGTTATTTTCAGACCTAAATGTAGTTAGCTTTACACTCGTGAAGTTCATTGTTTAATTTTTCAGCTCTCTCCTTCATTTATGCAATCACTTGAAATATCGTTAACAAATTGGTAATAATTGTAAAAGTAATTGGAATTGTAGCCCCAAAAACAACTTACTCTATTTTGAAGTTCCTTTAAATGAAGAAAAAAACGTTTAAATTGTATTTGAATGAGAAATGTTTTTTCTTTCAATTTTAAAATTTGTTTGTTTGTTGATTGATTTATGTTTTTGGACTAGAAAAAGTTGTCCAGTGTTCACTGTGTCATTGCCCCAAGCTGAACTTTCACTGAATCACCAAAGCATTCAAGGTATGTTTTCATGGATAGAATCATATAAAGTAAATTTGCTTTAACCTAAAAATAGAAGGCTTAGTTAGATATGGGTTTATTTACAACTGGGTTAGTCTACAAATGTATGGTATGCATTGCTACCATACATTTTTACATATGAAATCAGTGTGGTTGTCCACCTTGGATCATGCTACATGAAGTTGCCTAAATGACAAGCAGCTCAGGTATAGTCAATACCTGCTACTCCAAATGTCTACTCTTTTGACTTGTAATTTTGGGATTCAGATTTGAAAACAATGTTTGTTTTTTCTGTTCTAGCATTTTTAATATGTATGTCATGTCTTTCTTAACAGGCAGTCATGCAGGCCATTTAACCTGGTTTCAGCTGTATTAGAGGATGGCTGTCTTTATCTTTAAGATGTCTCCTATTGACTTCTTCAGAATGAATATTATGTATGTTGTTGACAGTGTAGTAAATATTCTTATTGGCCAGTGAAACCCAGTATTATAATAAAGGGGCACAAGGACATGGCAACTTATAATTGAAAAAGTTTAATTTTAAAAGCACTGTCTTCTGCTCTGTTGCTACTGCAATAGCAATACCGCTTATGCCCATCACCAACTCTTGCATGCATTCTCAGTGCCTAGATTTTGATCTGTCATCTTATTTGTTCATATTTTAAGAAATATTTATTAAGCCTACTCTGTGCCAGGTATATGGATGCTGTGGATGTATGAATGCTAAATAAGTCAGGAATCCTTAAATAATAGCTATCTATCTTGGAGCATGAAGATATTAGGCAGGGTCTGAAATATCCTACCGTCATTAGAAAGCAAAGATGCTTTCCAGGATATCTGAAGGCAGTGCTAAAAGGATAATGAGCTAGGTCATGGGACTCTAACTGGTCAAGCTGTGACAAATTAATGGAGGGGGGAACAACAATTTTAGCTCATGAAAGTAAGTTTGTGAAAAAACCATGAGTTCATAAAGATACTAAAAAAATATTAATATTGTAAAAAGGTAGTCTCAATATGTAAAGTGACTGTAGTAGAATGTTTAAAACTTTTTAATGGCTTTAAGAAAGAGGCCTGTTAATATGTGTACATTTTTTCTCTGTTAAGTACATATCTGCTTATAAGTCATAGGATATTTTTGTTTATCACTGTGTAAGTAGAGAAGAAAGAACACAGAACTATAAGTCAAGTAGTCCTGGAGTAAGAATTGTACCTTTCCTTGGTACAGCACCAGCAGTCACACATAAAAACATGTTAGAAGTGGGATCTAATTATGTCCCAAGGTGACAGATTAACTTGATATCCAATTAAGGAGACTTCTCTGCACAGATTAAATCCCTCATTTTTAAGAAATTAAAGCCTTAGTTGGCCCTGCTAATCATTAAAAGATATTAAAAGAGCATTAGTTTATAATAACGCTAACAGAACAGGTCAGTATATCATAATAATAGCCCAAAAGCTTTTGTAACACTGATCAAGTGAAACTTAAAGACGGCATTCTTGGACAAAACTTTGGGTTATAAAAAATAACTTTTGTGAAGTTTAAGGTATTTACTTATTAAAAGTAAAGCCAGATAATTGGTTATTCAGGTTTGAATCATCTAGGGAGAAAACAATTGGTCTCATGCTCCAACAAAAAATCAGTCAGTAACCCAGATTCTGCCACCTTAGCTGATCAAAGAAGTTAATTCTTTTGGATCTGATAACCCTGGAGAGATACCAAAATTAGTATGACTTTAATCTTGAGAAAATATAAGAACAAGTATAGAAATAATATAGAATGATTGCACCAGTATATTGTTATTTTGGAATTAGGTTAAGAGCAGTAATGTTTTATAATCATTGTATTCATGTGTGTTTTGTCTAAAAGTTAATATATTTGAAGTGGGAAAAAATGTTAAATTTGTAGTTCAAATTATTTAAGGGAACTTAAGTTTGTAATTAATGGTTAATTGTTAAAGAAACAGTTTTAAATTTTTATATGTTAGATATTTAGCTCCTCTAAGCATTTTATTTTGACTTGTCGCTTTAGAATTATTTCTCATACATTTAATCTCTTTTAAGTGATAAGTAGAAATGTGCAAAATCTTTTGATAATTTACTAAAGGAGAGACAAGAATTCAAGAAATTTTTTTATAAAAATTGTAAATTTTAAAGCTAGAAAATGAGAATTCTTCCTACATGTGTTTTTTAATATGGTACTCAAATTACTATAATACATTTTATTATATTTTTCACATTTTAAATACTAACTATTGGCATAAAAGAATGATCATTTTGATAATGAAGTGGTTAAAAACAACATAGATGTCTTTGAAGGTTTTTTCTTAATAATTCAGAGAATAAGGAAGAGGATGAAATCTTTTTTGAACTCTACCCGCCCCACCTCCATTCACCCCAAGGAGCTGAGAGTTTGTTAAAAACAAAAAATCTCCTTGCAGGGATAATTAAAGCTGTATCTGTTGTTTGGTTTGGTTTGGTTTGGTTGATTGTTTTTTTGTTTTTGTTTTTGTTTTTACCCCTACATTGGGAGATTTTTATTAACTTAAATTGACATTGTTAATTTTGTCTGTCAAGTCCTTGGTAAGTATACCTTTATTTGATACAAACCTACTGGTTCTTCTCAATACCATATGATCATGGAGACTCGTAGTTATCAGTGCTTTGTAATAAGTAAAACAATGTTCAAATAATTAACAAGTTACTTCACTGATATACTTAAAAGAATATTCTGGAGAGTGTTTGAAAGTTCCATTTATAAATAGTGATTGATATATTTAGTTAGGTATTTGGCGTTGAAAAACAGTTCTTATATAAAACACCTTTGTAATTTTATTACATTGCTTTACTAACGAGACTAGTTATTAGATATATTTCTAATACCAAATAATAAAGCTTTATCTTCATATTTACTTTATTCATAGGACTCATATCAGTGAAGAATGTTGTATCCAACAATAACAAACTGACATATTGCAAGTGACATTCTGTAGAAGTGAAAAAGGAAGGCTGCGGCAAAAGGAACTAGACAGCTGCATACACATTCTTTATGCAGACAATCACAGGAGAATTAAATGCAGACCAAATGCTTTTAAAAGTTTTTGTGCCTAGATGGCAATTATAATCTTCACACACTAAAGAGAAAAGGAACAATAATAATACAGAACACAGTATTTTTAATGTTTATAGCAAGTTTAATACCTTAAACCATCCACTGTGTTCTCAGATCAGACTGGCAACTGAAATTTCACATCTACCTGGTTTTGCTTGGCTAAGGTCACTATTTCAGAGAGCTTTACAACCATTTTAGCACCTTCATCCACGTCATTACAAGCAAGAATTTCAAGTCCACTGTCTGTTATCAGTTCCTTGGTATCAACTCATGTACCTTGTAACCGTACCACAATAGATATTTTAATTTCCAAGTCTTTTACTGCCATAACTATACCCTGTGTAATAACATCATACCACACGATCCCTCCAAAAACATTGATCTGAATAGCCAGTGCTTTCTTGTTTGAAGTGATAAGCTTAAATGCTTCTGTTACTTGATGAACTGTGGCACCACCACCAACATCAAGAAAGTTGGCTGGAGTCCCTCCATGACATTTTATTATATCCGTTGTGGCCATAGCTAAACCAGCACCATTTACTAGACAGCCTATATTCCCATCTGGCCAATGTAGTTGAGATCTGCCTTAGCTGTATCTTTATCCATTTCATCTTCCTAGGTCTGGTCCTGTAGGTCAAAGGTTTTCTTCTGGCAGTAAGCTGAATTAGAATCAAAGTTGATCTTGCATCCATACACAGCACAGCTCCATATGAATCCTCTATCATTGAGTTTATTTCTACCATGGTTGCATCATATTTCAGAAAAAGGTTGTAAAGATTGACCATGGTTTCTACCACAGGAACCACAACATTAGGTGGAAATCCCATCTTCTGGTCAAGCCAGAAACTAATATAAAATAATATTGAATGTCAATTTATTATTATTTTATGTTAGTTTCAGGGGTACAGCATCACTACATTGATATAATTTATATGTGTAAATTATATATGTTACATATAAAATAGACATTTATATAAATTATGAAGTGATCCCCCTGATTAATCTAGTACCCATCTGGCACTACACATAATTATTACAGTATTATTGACTACACTCCCTAGGTTGTACTTCACATCCCCATGACTGTTTTGTAATTACCAATTTGTACTACTTTAATCCTGTCACCTTTTTCACCCAGCCTTCCCACCTAGGAATCATCAGTTTGTTCTCTGTGTCTATGAGTCTGTTTCTGTTTTGTTTGTTCATCTAATTTGTTCTTTAGAGTTCACATACAAGAGAGATCATATGGTATTTGTCTGTGTCTGACTTATTTCACTTAGCATAATACCCTCTAGGTTCATCCATGTTGTCACAGATGGTAAGATTTCATTTTTTTACACCCAAATAATAGTCCATTGTCTATATACACCACATCTTTAATCGTCTATTGATGGACACTTATAGGTTCTTTAACTATGGACTCAGGAGTCTCTGCAGCAACATCTTTAAAGTTGACACCACCTTGAGAACTTCCTGTTAATACAGGACTTTGAAATAACCTTTCCACTGTTACTGCAAAGTATTATTCTCTCCTGAGATATCTTCACTCGCAAACCAATACTTGAATGCAAATTCTGCCCTTTTCTCTTGTTTGCTTGGTAAACAACTTTTCCCAGTCATCTATGGGGAAACAGCTTTTGCTTCTGGTGAGAAAACTACCTTCACTCCACTGAGGCCACTTTCAAGTGTTTGTTTTCCTATGAAACCCATGTCTTTAGCACATCTTTTGACCCTAATTATTTAGCAATTGCATAAGCTTCATCTTGTGACAGCCACATGTCCTTTGGGAATGGCAACTCCAGCTTCTCTCAATTCCGTACTTACGTATTTGCGTAGTGAGAGATTCCTTTGCTGTTGCTGCTGTACTTGGGATCCATGGTTGTTAAACAATCCAGAACTTCCCAGGACCTGGACAGTGGCCCGCAGAGCTGTCTTGAGTGGGTGGCTCCTGAGGGTGGTGGCAGCCAACAGTCGCTGTTATCGTATTGTTTTAAAATGTTCTTTAACAAGGCAAGGCTGTCTACTATTGCCATTGTTATTCAATATAACATTAGAGGTCCTAGCAAGTGCAGTCAGGCAAGAGAAAGATATAAAAGGCATCCAAATAGGAAACAAAGAAGTCAAACTGTCACTATTTGCAGATGACATGATTCTCTATATGGAAAGCTCTAAAGACTCCACAAGAACATAGCTGTTATCAAAAGGACAAGTAATAAGTGTTGGAGAGGATGCGGAGGAAAAGGAACTCTCATACACTGCCAGTGGGACTGCAAATTGGTACAGCCACTATGGAAAACAGTGTGGAGGTTCCTCAAAAAACTAAGAATTGATCTATTATATGATCCAGCAATCCCTCTACTGGGTATTTACCCCAAAGACTTGAAAACCCATATCCAAAAAGATATTTGCACACCGATGTTCATATCAACTTTATTCACAGTGGCCAGGACCTGGAAGCAACCGAAGTGTCCTATGATAGATGTTTGGCTAAAGAAGCTGTGGTACATATACATATATACAATGGAATGTTACTCAGCCATAAGAAGAGATGAAATACTGCCATTTGTGACAACGTGGATGGACCTCGAAATAATCATGTTAAGCAAACTAAGCCCGACAGAAAAATTTGAAAATCACATATCACTTATATGTGAGATATAAACCTAAAAGCAACAAAGGAACAGGACAAACAAACAGAGACTCATGGACATGGACTATAGACTAGTGGTTACCAGAGGGTAGGGGGTAGGAGAGGAGAGGGGAGGTAGACGGGGTAAAGGGGGTCAAATATAGTCGGGTAGGGGAGGGTGAAGTGGGTAAAGAGGATCAAATATATGATAGCTGAAGGAAACTGGACTTTGGGTGGTAAACACACAATAGAATATACAGATGTCAAATTATAATGTACACCTGAAAATTATATAATTGTATTAACCAATGTTAGCCCAATAAACTTAATTAAAAGAAAGTTCCCTTATTTGTATTAAATTTTAAGCAAACAGAGATATAAAATTTTAACTAAGATATAGATAGTGTAATATATCGTTATTGCTTGGCACAAAGGGCTCTAATGCAAGGATAGGAAATTATTTATATGACTTTTTGCTCATCATCCTGTGGAATGGAATATCATGTGTTAACTCTCCTAACTGATTTTCATAGCTTTTTATCAAATGGCAAAGGTCCAACAAGCAAAAGCAATAGTCAAACAAGCAAAAGCAATAGGTTTTTGTTGGATGTAAAGCTCAGTAAGCATACTTATGCTTATTTTTTTCCCCTGAAAAACCTGTCTTGCTTGCAAGGATGCAATCTGAGATTCAGCAGATAGTTACTTATACTCTGGTTATAGATACTGCTTAATCAAAAGAAACCGAAGGAATGACTCAAGAATACTTGAAATGCCAGTGAGCCCTGAATTCCTACCTAAGTATGTCAGAGTGCCTGGGCCTTGATGGTGAAAGTAGGCAAGAGAAATGGAGTAGAAGAAATATCTTTTCTCTTAATCCTGCTTAAATTGGTGTAGATTTTTGTCAGCCAGCTCATCTCAGAGGTAGCAGGGTAAGGAGTGGATGGTGAAGGTGAAATCACATTTAGGACAATCCCTTGATTCTTTTTGGCCCTACATAGGGTATTCCTTTTCATGCCTAACTTGACAGTATGAATTCTATACCTATAATGGAAGAGATCTTGACACTGAGAAAGTAGATAGGATTTTTCCTCATGTAGTTAACAAATACTTAAAACAACTCAGCCAAAATAGAAAGATTGGTTTTTAGCTAAACTAATTCCAAATAATTATAATTTTATTTGGCTTCGTGTAAAATATTTTTTAAGAAATGGAAAGATTTTTTATGACTTTATTGCCAACATAATGATACTTTTATATCAATAAATTGGTATAATAATTATAAAATGTTTGAATGTCTGAGGTAGTCATTTCAAGTTAAAAGATTAAGAAATGCCAATTGAGAGGACATATTTTTAGTGCTTTAATAAAACTGGAATGTAAATATATTCTGTTATCTTTTAGGGCCTACAACTGAAAATCCTGAAGTTTTGCCACACCCAGCAAAGGTCGGTCTATATAACAGATTATCTATGCAGATCATGGATTTAGATTTTTTAAAAAGTTATGTTTATTAAAGTCTTAAGCTCATTTACTGTCTTCCCTTTGTAAGAATATGACTAAACCATTTCAATAGATAGAAATCTATTTTTGTCTAACAACCCCTTCCAGTATTTGTTCTTCTTTACCTCTAATGAAATAGTATTTTCTTAATCTGTATTTCTTATCTAGCAATGTAAGTCTCCTATTCTTAGAGGAGAAGCATATAACTGATGATCAAACTAGTTGCTGAGACAATGTAGCAGAAATACCTTCTGTTGGTTTCTCTGTTACCCTAGTTCCTTTATATCTCCTTCTAGATACTGATTTCCCATATTCAGTTGCTAATCATTAACCATGTATTGAGTGCTTGTTTTGGCTTTGAATTCTGCTTGCTGTATGGGGAATCAGAAGACTGGAAGACTGGCTCTGCCCACAAGGACTCACGCAATCAAGGACCTCCCTAGGCCAACCCTACCATACCTGTACCTTACTTCACCTCAGTTGTACCTTACACAG